GGCCTTTGGCTTTTTATAAGGGTTTTATCCCAAACTTCGGAAGGCTAGGATCTTGGAATGTGATTATGTTTCTAACCTTAGAACAGGTACTATTTCAGTGGACATTATTTTCCTTTTCAAATCTGTCCAACCTTCTTAGTATTAGAAATTGAAAAAGGAGAAATATTTGAAGAAAAGTTTATTACTTTCTTGAATAATATTATATGTACAATAATTTATATATAGGTATTTACAAAGAGAATATTTTAAGGTATAAAATATTTACAATAAGTGTGAATATAATCTAAATTATTGTGTTTATATCTTAACATCTCCCCTCAAACTCAAGGTGGTTGTGATGAAACCAACTTGAGTTTGGAAATAAGAGTATGAAACCGTCCAAGAAAATGAACCTTAGTGAAAAGATCTGCTGGTTGATCAGCGAAGCCAATAAAAACCAAATGAACAGTTCCTTGTGCAACATGATGGCGAACAAAGTGACACTCAACCTTAATGTGTTTAGTGTGTTCAAGGAAAAAATCATTATGAGTAATCTACATGGCACTCTGATTGTCACAATAAAAATTGGTAGCAGGCGGTTGAGAAACACCCATATCTTCTAGTAGCCAACGTAAATTAAGTAACTCTGATGTGGCGTCTCCAAGTGCTCGATATTCAACCTCTGTGCTAGAATGTGACGGAACTATCTACTTCTTACTACACTAAGAGATTAAGGAATCACAAAAAAAAAAAAAAAAGGACAATATCCAGTGGTGGATTTACGATTATTAGAGTCTCCAACCCAATCAACATCTGAGTGAGCACGAAGTTCAAGAGATGAATGAGCAGAAAAGTGAAGTCCATGGAACATGGTACCTTAATATACCGAATAATGCGAAGTACTATTGTATAGTGAGTGGAGCGAGGCGTAACCATAAACTGGCTAACAACATGAACGGCATAAGCTATGTCTGGTCATGTTGTAGTGAGATAAATCAAACTTCCAACCAACTGGCTGTAGCGAGTAGGATCAACTAATGGAAAACCATCTATGGATGTAAGTCAAACATTAGACTCAAAGAGGAGTAGATGCAATCTTATTGTCAATGAGTCCAGCTTTAGATATAAGGTCAGAAGCATATTTTGTTTGAGAGAGAAGATAACCATCATTAGAAGAGGTGACCTCAAGTCCCAAGAAATAGCTCAAAACACCAAGATCTTTCATCTCAAACTTATGACTGAGAAATTGCTTAAGATCATGAATACCTAAAATATCATCCCTAGTAATGATCATATTATCAACATAAAGAAGTAGTAGAACCATAACATGATTAGTCTTACGTATGAACAGTGCAGTATCATGAGGACTAGAAGTAAAACCAAATTCACTCATGGTGGTACTAAACTTCGCAAACCAGGCTCGAGGTGCTTCTTTCAAACCATACAGAGCTTGCTTCAATCGGCAAACATTGTTTGGAGGATGCTCAACTCCATGAGGTGGTTTCATGTAAACTTCCTCTGCAAGATCACCATTTAAAAAGGCATTTTTCACATCCATCTGAAACAAGTTCCATCTTTTTGCAGCAGCAATAGCAATCAAACTACGAACTGAAGTAGGACGAGCAATAGGTGCAAAAGTTTCCTCATAATCAATCCCATATTCCTGAGTAAATCCTTTAGCAACCAAACAAGCCTTGTAACGCTCCACGAAACCATCAGACCGAGTTTTGATCTTGTACAACCATTTACAATCTACCGAAGGCTTTCCAGCAAGAAGATCAACTAAATCCCATGTACGAGTTTTGTCAAGAGCTTGTAATTCATCTTGCATAGCTTGTTACCAAAGAGGGTTAGAAGAGGCCTCTTGGTAGGATTGAGGCTTATGTAAGGAGGAAATAGCAAGAAAGAAATGATAATCACAAAGATAACTAGGAGGATTTCTTACCCGAGTAGGATAACTTGAAGGTGGATTAAGGATCTCATTTTCAGGCTCAAGATTAACAGAGTTAGATCTAATATGTGATACAGAAGAGGTAAGGGAAGAAGACTCAGCATTGTCTAATACATTACTAGCAAGCAGAACATCTTCTATAGAACTATGTGGAGCATGTGGAAAGGCATCATGGAGCTCATCAAATGTATTTGCATCAGAGTCACTAGGAAATAACTCAAAAGAAGAGTTAGTAAAAAGTGGAGGTTGATCAAAAGATGACACTTGGAATTTTGATAATGAGAAAAACATAGTGTGTTCCCAAAAGACAATATGATGTGAGACTCGAAGTTTTTGTGACATAGGATCCCAACAATGATATCCTTTGTGTGTAATCCCATAACCCAAAAAACAACATAATCGAGCTTTAGGTTCTAACTTATTATGTTCATGAGGTGGAAGAAGAACGAAACAAGTACAACCAAAAACCTTAAGAAGATTATAGATCGGAGGAATACCATGCAAACATTCGTATGGAGACTTATTATTGATGATCGATGATGGAATCCGATTAATGAGATAAACAGCTATAAGAGCAGCTTCACCCCAAAATCGCTCTGAACAAGAAGACAAAATGAGCAAAGCACGAACAGAATCAAGGATGTGTCTGTGTTTGCATTCAGCTCGCCCATTTTGTTCAGAAGTGTAAGGACAAGATTATTGTGCCAATATACCACGTTCTTTAAAAAAGGATTGAAGTTTAGTACTAAGATATTCCGTGGCATTATCAGTTCTCAAAACTTTGATAATTTTAGAGAATTGGGTCTTGACCATTATAGCAAAATCAATATAAATTTGTGGTAACTCAGAGCGATTTTTCATAAGATATATCCAGATAAAATGAGTATGATAATCAATAAATAACACAAAATACCTGAAACCCCCCCATGGTAGGTGTCAGAGATGGACCCCAAATATTAGAATGCACGAGATCAAAAGAAGCAGCAAAAAGAGAATGACTACTAATAAACGATAAAGCTAGTTGTTTTGCAGATTAGCATGACACACAATGCAAAGATTCATTTGGAACAAATCCTAATAAACCACAAGAAATAAAAGCACAGAGTTTATCGATTGAGGTGTGTTTGAGCTGTGAGTGCCACAAATGAATAGGAGAAATATTAGTAGCAATACAGGCTTGGAGGATTTGTTGATATGAAATTTGCAAAGACTCTAATTCAATAGTACATAGTAGGGTTTGGATGAATCGGTCATTTGGAAATGATGGTGTATCCATTTTATGATTAGATATATGCAGATAATTGAGCTCAAACAGACGCCTCACCTTGCGATCAGTTTCAAGAAGTTGTCTCGTCTGTGGGTCCTGCACACAACAACCATGAGTAGGAAAAGTTATTTCAAGACCAAGATCACATTACTGACCAATAGATAAGAGATTATAACTAAGTTTTGGAACCAAGAAAGCGTTTGGTAAAGTCAATGAATTTGTAGAAATATTGCCGATGTGACTAACATTCATAGGGGAGCCATCAATAGAATAAATGTCAAGAAAGGACTTATTTGGTGACATTGAAGAAAAATAAGCAGTAGTTGAAGACATGTGATTACAACAACCAGAATCGAAATACCAAGGTTTAGTACCTAGAGCAGTAGATAAGGCAGTAGGAGCATTAAAAAGATTTAATATCACCTATTTTCGAGATTCAAGGTTGACAATAGGTTGGTTTATCACCTCTTTGGCAACCATTGTAACAGCAAGATGAATCATAGTTCTTTCAAAACTCGCCATAGAATCAATAAAACTCACAATACTGAAAAAAAGTCTCTAAAAGTATGAAGAAATAGATGCCAAGATCGAAATTACAACTCAATAAAATACCTTAAAAGGGGCATGAGAATTAAGAATAAACAATCCAATCTGCAGGAGAAGAGAACCCAACAACAAAGTTTCAGATCTGGAATAAATATGAAAATCCAACTCAATAACCAAGCAGTGATAAAAGAAGAACCAAGAGCTTATAGCTCTGATACCATATTAGAAATCAAAAAAGAAGGAGAAATATTTGAAGAAAAGCTTATTATTTTCTTGAAAAATATTATATGTACAATGACTTATATATAAGTGTTTACAAAAAGAATATTTTAAAGTATAAAGTATATAAAAAGAATATTCTAAAGTATAAAATATTTCTAATAAGTGTGAATATAATCTAAATTATTGTGTTCACATCTTAACACTTAGGTTTGATATTTTTTCGACATTGAAATGTACATCATATCTCACTTTGTTTCACATTACCTACAAACGGCACTAGTTCATGAGGAATTCTTTTGTTTTGCTGTTTAATGAGAACAGAAAATGGTAGAACTAAGACTACAAGGACCTTATTTCCCTCGTATGACAGTGGATACCTGATACTAGACATTTTATTGATTTGTGTATTTCTCAATGGCTGACTTATGAATTGTTTTCTTCTTTCTTTACAGGCCAAGAAAGTTGTCAAAAGCATAAAACATCCTGAGGGTAAATAAGATGCTCAAGACCAAAGTTCAAGCATTACCAATGGGATTGCATGGAAGATTCATAGAGAATAATGAAATCATAAGATGTCTTACCATTGTTGTCATTTGGCTAGTTGAGGCTAGGAGTTATTAAAACCTTGAAAACCCTTGAAATTTGAAGAACTCATAACCTCTAAAATAATTTTTCATTTCATTTCATTTCATAAACATAATTGTTTTCTGCCTGGCTTTTACATTATATCTTATGTTGATCCTTAGAAACTAATATAATTGAGCTCTATTTCTATTAAGGTTGGTAACTGCATAGTTATAACTTTATATGTGTTCTTTATATGTGTTTCTGTTCGGTTAATTCCAACGTTTATTGTAATTCTTGTTGCGGTTAAAACTTTTTGTGTTGAGGTATCTTCGGAAACTGGATTTCTTCAGTCTTAGTATGAACTCTTGGTCTAGGGGAGAGTAAAGTTTGCAACTTTAAGAAAAATTTCTGATAGTTGTAGACGCTAGACTTCAATGTTGATGATGTTGATGATTCTGGATGCTGCCCTGTATCAGTTTCAAAAGATTATTTTAGATTTCAATTGTCCATCCATGGTCTTTTATGTTCTTGTCATTGGTTTAGTTCCTTGATTGTGTCGGATGGGTGACCTAGGTTTAGCACAATGGAAGTCTATGTCTTATTTATTTTTCTGTGCTGATTTATCCCTAATGATTGTTTTGCAGACTACAAACAACTTTCTTCAGCTCTGGTTTTTCGTTTTTATTTTCTTTTGAAATAAAGTAATGAACTAAGCAATTGTTTCTAAATTTTTCTTACAGTTGTGATGAACGTGTCCAGAAGATTCAGACAATCAAGATGATGGAGGGGATTTTAATTTGTGCTGCCACTCATTTGTTTGAAGTCTTTCCTGAAAAAGACTGAATTTGAATCTCATATTCATGACAGCCATGCTGATGTTTTACAGCCCAATGCAGAGAGAGAAGATGGTAAAGAATCAGAGGTTCAGAGTGCTAAGCCATTTATAGGTTCAGAATCCACCCTTCGAGCTCCCTCAAGGGCAGTCTTCTCTCCTGGTTCAAACCCTCAGCTCCATGATAATGAAGACAAAGCTCGAGGGCTGCAGACCCAAGAACAGCTGCCTCCAAGGCCAACAATGCAACTAAAGGCACCACCAATATTTGGTCCAGTTCCTAGTTATCCAACAGAGCCACAACCTGACAACAGCCAACCCCCAGGCTCTGAAAGGCCTGGCACCCATCACTTCCAACAAAGTTTTGATAGGCAAGGCACCCCACAACCAGAATCTAGCCAGTTTTCAGAAAAGCAGCAGCGTCACATGCCTGAGAACCACTTTCCGGAATACCCCTATATGCATTCCATGCAACCACCTAATTTCAACATGCCAATGAATTCAAACCCAGTATTGCCTCCATATGGTATTCACCCATTTCCAACTAATAGAGCTCAACCATTTCCTGCTAATACCTCCGAGATGGCTAGGCCAAATTCACCACCAGATGTCAGAGCGGAACGAAGGTCATTATTGGGCTACCCACCAGGTCCATGAAAGGCTTAAATTACTCAGCAGCTTATCCTCAGCGCTGGAATGCTGGACAACCTGATGTATCTTTTGAAGCATCAGCAGTTAATCAAGGGATGGTAGAGGTTTTGCAAATTATCAAAGTGATTATGGACAAAATCCCGGAGGCTTAATGATGATTCCTCCTTCCCCAGCATCTGCAGGAAGTAATGCCATGGATCCTTGGGGTGCCAAAGGTATACTGGCACCTCAGCCCATGCAAGTTCAGCCGCCACCACCACCACCACCTCATATGTCACAAATTAAACAAGGTAAGCTCCACTCCGCTGATATCGGTCATGACGCGCAGGGCTTTGGGTGGCGGCATGAGAACCATGACAATTTTGGAGATAACCAGGACTAGGAGCAGTTTATCCTGGTAGTCCCGTGATACCATTATTCTTTCTGAACTCATCATATTCATTTCGTTTTGCAATGGGCATTTCTTTTTCCCTGCATCTGTTTTTTGCCCTTGTTTGCAAAATGCTGATATGCATGTAGGGTTATGTTCTTTCTTCAGAAAATTTTCAATTAACATTCAGTTGTTAATAGAAAATTTTTTCTCCACGGGCGACTAAAAGTCCGGGTTGAATGCCATACCAAATAACCAATTCTTGAAAATGACACTATCAGAAAAGGCTTGAAATACATAGCAGTTCCTACTCTCATAAACATTCCTAATGCGAGTTTGTTGGAAATTACACCGTCTAACTTGATTTGAAAGCCAAAAGTACATCCTTTTGTATCAACATTTCTCGACCTTACATCCCTCACAAACTTCAAGGACAATCTCTAAAAATGAAAATGTGTTTCTCCAAACCTCAAAGCTCAAGAGAAATCAATCCCACCATTAGCACTTCCAGCTGCTCATGAAGGAAACCAAATGCCAGAGAAAGGAAGTAACTCAAGAAGAAAACAAAAGATATCAGCTTAGCTTTCTCATCTCTAAAATCCAGTTCTGGACACTGTTTACACAGTTTCTGTTAAATTTTACACACAATTGCTGCATTTTCCTGTACCCCATCATGCAATATGAATCAACAGAATCTTCATATCTCTCATAGAGTGCCGGAACTGCAAGAACAATAACAAGGCCTGCAAGAAATTGGATAATAAGAGTTATGTTACAAATATCAAGATTAAATACCAACAATTTCCAGAACCTTAAAAACTAAAATACAAGTAAGAAACATGATTTTTGTTAATTATTATTAAGAGGCAGCTGCTGGCAAATCACAATTGGGAACTTACTGGTATAGCCTAGAGTAAGGAAATCAGTCAATCCACCAACAATAGAAATCAGCCCAAGTAATGCAGCTACTTGGAAGAAAAGCCTTGAATCTTTACCCATGGCGACATCCTGGGAAACTGAGAGCAACTCATTTACTTGGGTTCGGATAAAAGTTGCTGCATCATTTACCATTTCTTCTGATAGATACAGTTCTGGTAGTGGTGGAGCTGGTCTATTACAGTAAGCACAATTCAGTGGTAAAGACAACAGTAAATGAATGCAGAAATTGAGAGCTAAAGAACTAAGTGATCATGGTTAAGAGTTGTGGAAATCTATGTAACTGACCGGTTAAGAATTGCTGCAGATCTTGCCCAGAGAAAAAGGATGATGGTGAGGAGGAGAAGAACACTTGAGACAAGTGACAATAGAGTGTAACCAGATCTCTCAAACACCACCCAAACAGCTAGTGTCAGTAACAGTATTCCCATAGTCAAATTCTTTCTCCTCCACAATATCACATCTGCAACTGTTTTAAACAAATAAAAAAACATAATCGACCCAAATCTATGATAAACATGAAAGGATCAGAATCAGAGGGACCCATTTGTAGAAAATGCTGAATGAATGAAAACTGTATGGTACTAACATATTTGACAATTCAGTGAAACTAAAAATGACCCAGATCAAGTTTTAGATCCAAGAGAAAAAACCATGATCGGAAAATTACAGTGAGAGACTAACCAAGACCTCCTCCAAGGATCTGATGAACAGTTCTGTGTCTGTTAAATAATCGATCATGTGAACCCATTTGCATGAAACTGTAAACAAGATCGTCAAGACAAAATTTGGTGGGTTTGAGATGCTGATATTGATCAGAAAAGAAATAGGTTTTCTTGAAAAGTTAATGGTTGGTGGCTTCAGATTCCAGCCTAAAAGCGTCAAGCTGCCCATGCCTTTTCTACTTTTTCCTTCCAGTATAATACCCCTTTAAAAAAAAAAAAATGAAAAACAAAAAAAACCCTATTTAAAGATGTTAGAATCTTATTTTATAATATTCAATAAAGTTGTATGAGTCAATACAATCTAAAATATATAATAATTTTTTTAATAATATTTAATGCAGATCATATTTCCAATATAAAGAACCATTCGAGGTTCATTATACAGCAATTTGTTATATTTCCCCCTAAGAATGTTAAAAGAATTAGTGATCAACAGAGGGCGTGATTGAAGCCGAGAGATAAAATCCTAAAGAAGTTTTTTACAATGTGATTTCACTTGAAAATGTATAAGTTATGTGTGTAAGACTACAGAATGCAACGACCTCATGCCAAGGATTTTTGTTCAACCATCTAAAACTGACACGAATCATTGTCACTCGTCCAGCAAATATAACATGAAATCAAAAGAATGTAATGTTTCTTGTCATGCAGCTTTGCCTTCATCGTTTTTATTTCCATTTTGGGGAGTGCTTGCCTCAACGCTGGCCATGGCTGGGGAAGTATCCATCAGGCTGGCAGCTATTGCAGCCTTCAAGTCCTCGTCTTCCATTGCTGAAAGCGTCTGCATATCCACATCATCTAACAAGGGTGACTGATTTGGTTGCTGCTGAGTCACATTGTTCCTTGGGGGTGCAGTCCTCATTGAGTTGCACGATTTAGTTATCCTCTCAGCATCTTCAGGGGACAGCCACTGCCCATAACCGTTAGGAGCTTCAGATGAAGAGAGAGGGCATTCCTTTGGGAAGTTCCCCCTCACCAGGAAAATGCTCCAACCTGATCCCTTCAGTGTATCCAGACAAGCCGACAGGTAGAACTTTGAGAAGTGCTCAGGGGCTGCAATTAGACTGTCAAAGTTGTACCACTCACCATTCACTTTTCTGATACAAAACCAGTGATTGTGCAAATGACAAATAAACGCATTTTCCAGCTCAGGGTCAATTTGTGCAGGCTCAGCTACAGGGCAGTCAAGAGGAATAACTTGCAAATCCCACACCTCTAAAGCCTTTTGTAAAACCTGTGAATAGGAGTTTGCATAATGGATAAAGTCAGGACAATGTTAATGAATAACCATAAATAAAGGTCAACAGTAAGCAGATTAAGAATGCCAGTGCAGCCCATGGGTGATGCGTGAGTAGGTAACAAATAATTTCATATCAAATAATAATGCAATCATACTCTTCATTTTCAACTCTTAATATCTTCAAATTATTAAAGTCGGCCCCACTCAACACATCCAAATAAAAATCTACTATTATCAGAGCCTGTGAGTCAAAATAAACGAGGTGATTCTTTTGTGAACCATAATTCTTGCAGAAAATCATATAAGGTTTTCTTGAAAAGAAAAAAGAAGAAAATACTGAAGGTAAAGAAAACAAGCATCCACATGGAGAGGGGATGACAACTAAGGAAATAAAATCCAATGCCAGTTATGTGTGTGATAATACCTCCAGATAAGTACACCCATTTTTACAATAATGCTTATTATAGCCAATCCTGTTAGTCCCATTTTGAAGATAGATATAGAAGGTACCAAACATGCAATAACTTTACATCAAAGGTAACTACTTCATCAACTAACACCTTTGTCATCTAGGTTAAAAATTCTTACCATACTTAATGCATTCCTGATTTCCAATGAGCACATATCAATTGCAGAGCGTTTTTTTAGAAAATTCTTCTGCTAATTTGCTTCTTTACAACCGTGTTATCCACCAGCATTGTCAAAAATGGAGGTTTCAAATGTGCTCTAAACTATCACTGAATGAGATTGCTAACCATGGGCATGTAATCCTTTCAAATTGAATCTAGAATTTAACCATATTAGGTTTGAGGGCTACCGTCTCTCAAAACCTTTTTCAAGCTAAAGCTATATAACATTAATAGTACGAATCTAATCATTTCAAATTAAATCCAGAATTAAACATACCATGATTTCCAATTGAGATGCCTATATTTATGTATTGTCAATGCAGTTAAGAAACAATATTTTGATACCTCAAACATTTATTAGAACATCTAGCAACAATCAATTTTCTTTCCTTCTAGAACACACAGAGAACTCTTAAATTAAATAAATGCATTTCCCCTTAACTTGTATGCATTGCATATATAGTGCTTAGAAATATATTGAACTAAGCATAAGAATGCTCCTAAATGGTTAATTCAGGTAGCCAAGCTTTAATTTTTGTTTTTCCTAAAACTTAGATTTTTTGCCAGTGCTTGCAAGCCCATATCTCTAGAGTGGCTTCAGCTAGTACTTACAGGCCAATGTGTGGCTAATCTTTCTCTATTTCTCTAACCACACTGGATTCTTCCTTTTGAGAATCAAGATTGTGCTTCAAGATAAGGAAAAACTTTGTAGTGGAAGGCTGGTTTATGTGAGACACCAAGATAATTATACCTATTGCCATTTCAAGTAGCAATGAACACGAGTGATTTCATCCACCTTCCAGTTCTTTCCCAAGATGACGGAATCACATTGACGTTATTACATCAGCAATGACGTCCTTATTCATAGTTGATTAAAGTAACACTAGATTATAAACGATTACACAACTAGGTTGGTAGGAGAGCTGACTCAGCCTAATTGAACTGTTGCCAACTTTGTAATAAACATGTAAATGTTTTACCTATTGAAGCAATGCACGTTTATTGCATATTAATTCCTTTAAGAAAAGGATGTTGAATCCCACATTTAATGAAGGCAGAACCTTGAAACCTTCAATCCCGCATTTAATAAAATAAAAAATTTTAGGAAAATGATGCACAGATAAATGGACTCACATTGCAAGTTTGAAGGGAGGTTGATTGCTAGGAGTGTGCAAAAAGTATTAAAATCATCAAACCTTCATTTACTTAAGGGCTTAACACAGCGTTAAATATACAATAGCAGGAAGTAAAACAATCTGGTGTGAATCTTATTTAGTAGATATGCATGAAACCTCATCTGAACAATACTCAGAAGCAAATTGATCACTAGCATACTTATTATTATCTTAAATTAAGGTGCATTGAGAGTAATCATGGAAATATTTAATGTTACAAGTAAAAAGAGCTTGAACAATAAACATATACATTTTCCCACCTCAATGTTTATAACCTAAGGTTTCTTTTGCATGGAAAGTTTGAATACGCATCGAATTTTAACATTCATTTTAGGTAAAAATAAATAACCCACCAAAACCCTACCAAGCCTATTGAATACGACAAACAAACAAACCCATCGCTAAAATGAAGTTTCAAAATCATATTCTTTCATCACATTAAAAACAGACATCGACTAACATCCCCAAAAGCCCAATCTAATCCTTTATTGATACAATAAAGAACATGACATGAAAAAAAATTAACTTTCAAGTCTAATCGATATCAACTAGTATGGTTTTTATAAGAAGAGAATCAAAATACCAAATTTCCTTAATGCTACCCACCAAATTGTCAACAGCATATAATTTTTCAATAAAGATCCAATACCGACGCTGAATTCGCAATCTATAGAGCCACTCTGCTATTAATACGGCAAATTAAACTTAATCTACCAAACAACGTAAAGACGTGATCGTTCAACCTCTTTATTTCCCAGCAAGCACTCGAAAAAAAGAAAAAAAGCGGAGGAATTATTAAAAACAAATAAACAAGACAGTAAATTTTAGCAGAAGGAATGGAAAAGGAGGACCTGGATGCTGAAATCGCCGTCGAGCGACACATTATGAGATTCCTCAGAGAGGAAATCACCGGAGGAGGCGCCGCCCTGGAGCATCATCTGGCGCTCCTTGCGATCAAGATCGGATGCGAGCGCCGCCAAATCGAATTCCGAGAAGAATGGCCCCTGCAACACGGTGTTGACGCAATGCACCGCGCAGAGTTTGGACTCCTGCACCTCGTGGTACAACATCCCTCCATTGCTGGCTCCTTGTCCTTGACCTTCCATCGGCAATCCACAAATTCAGAGAAAAACCAAACCCTAAAAAATCCCCCCTTTTCGGGTAATAATTATTAAGCAATTTATTTCAGAATTCAGAAACTGTTCTGTTTATTCATTTATTGAGGCCTCGACAATTTCCAGGGAGAGGACAAGATGAGGGAAAAGCAAAGAAAATTACATTTATTGATAATTTCCAGGGATTTTGTTTTGGGTTGAGGCGGCCGTTTACAAATAGAAAATGATATATCCCTCCTGTAGGATTAGTTGTTTGAGTTTGAATTTTGTATATTTTATGTAATAAATAAATAATACATATTTTTTTATATAAATAAAAAAATATGTATTATTTATTTATTATATAAAATTATGAAGTTAATTTACATAAAATCAAGAGATTAGGATAATTAAAAAAAGACTAAAAGAAATAATAGTTTATAAGAATAAAATGAAAATCAAGGCGCTATGAGTTTTAAAATTTTAAGATTTTTTTATAAAATTATTTAAATAGATTTAATGAATCTTCTTATATGTTGATTTATTATGAGCATTTTAATTTTATTATTATTATTCGCAGCATTTTAACTGATTAGGCATTTTAGTTTTTCTTAATCTCTAATTATAATATTATTTGATATTGTAAGTTTATAATGATAATATATTATTATATAATTAATTATTTTTATTAAAAATCTACTCATACTATTATATATGTTTACTCACTTAATAATACATTATGTAACATTTTAACTATAATATTCTCAATTTCAATTGAAAGTTAAAACACCCTTTCTTCCTTCAAACTTAAGCTTGTTGTACTCCAACTAACTTTTTTAACATTTTGAAGTTCTATAAGCTAAAGTTTTTATATTCCAGCAAGTTATCCAGATTGATCTTCTTGGTGTTATAAAGTTTTTGCAACCCATTTAGAAGAAAATTTAATGTGGTTACTAACCTGTACATATGCTTAGAAGGAAACCTTTTAGGGTTGACAACTTGATTTTTTATGCATTCTTTCCTTCTTTGTGTTAATTAGTAGATATTTGGCTCCTTTACGTTGTTGTAAATTATTAACCCTACCCTTTAACAATCTTTAAAGGAAAAGAACATTTTAAGGACAAAAGGGAAAATGAAATCTTGCAAATTAACAAAATAATCTCAAAATAAACATAAAACTACTACAAAATTGCTACAATTCAACAACTTTTTAGGAAGAGATTAGAACAAAGTGAGGATTTTTTAGAGCAACAGAGAGAGGGATGTAAAAATGCATCAAACTTTTTTACATATTCTCTCTATTTAGATGTCCAAAATATGCAATGATGTGAGTTCTACTAGTTAAGGACAGCCCTCAAATTACTTCAGCAAGAATGCACTTGTTTGGTTCCAAGAGTTGCTAATGAAGAAAAATGCAGTATCTAATTCTCCCCCTTTTTTTTTTCTTTTTTTTTTTTATATATAAAGAGATTATTTAATTAATTTGAAATGATGAAGAAAGGGATATGGTGCAAAATAAATTGGCAATTTTTTTAAAGTAATCTTGTGTGAGGAAAATTGGAATATTCATCATGTGTTAATATCTCTATTGGCTTGCTCCTAGAAAAACTTCCTCAAAAACACGAACATCCAATTGAACAAAACAACGGAGATCAAATCGTTGATTTAATATAATTTAAAGAAAACGTTTGGAGAATTAAACAACAATCCGTTGTAGTCTAGTTGGTTAGGATACTCGGCTCTCACCCGAGAGACCCGGGTTCAAGTCCCGGCAACGGAACAAAATTTTTTCCTTAATTTTTTGGCAAAACCATAAGTTAAGCCCCTGAACC